TGTGCTTAGACACAATCGCAATCTTCTTCAGCCTGTCAATCTTCCCTCCATCTTTTGGTACCGAATATAAGGTAGAATGGCATGACACAAATAACGGATTGTTTCCAAGCTCAATTTGTTTGCCTATTTTGACTCGTTTCAAGCCGGAAAAAGTGGCCTCTGGTCTACAATCCCGTTCAGTTTGCCCACTTTTCTCAGATTCTAGCACCCTTTTGGGCTCTACAATTGTTCTGGCAGCCCTTAGACTTTTAGGCGCTATGGCTCGAGGCATTATGACAAACTGTGACACGACCGAGGCAGAAGAGCCCAGCATACCCGTGAACTCAACCCGTTTATGGAAAATGGCGTGACCTCGAGGTACCCGAATGCCAGTACGACGCCATAACTGGCCCGGCAACTGGTAGGCCCGACTTGCTCGTAAAATCGGCACGCCCTAGCGGTCGTTTGTAAGCATGCATGCATATTTAACGACATAGGCAACAGTGACATCGGTATAATGGGCTTATGTGTAAAATTTTGCACCCTTTCAACATTTTATACCCTTAGACACAAGCAAATTGACAAGCAAAAATGCACACCAGGCCGAATAGAAGAGAGGAGAAAGAGAAGAGGGGTGAAGTGGGGTGGGGCGAGAAAGAGAAAGAGAGAGAGAGAGTGGTTGGTTGGTTGGTTGGTTGGTTGGTGTCCAATTTATCCGTCTCGAGCTCCTCTTTTCATACTCGCAGGCGTCTCCTCTGCCATACTGACCGAACTCTCCGGTGGACATTAGTCAAAGCTCGACAATCACTCGAATTAACCGGACAAAGTGCATAGAAGAGATCCTCTTGTCCGGACGCACTGACACGCAGCCTACCGGCAGCACACGCCAACTCTGGCAAGCCAATACAGACGCCAGTTTCCACTTGACTGGGCAATGGACTCGCGAAACGAGCAATTAACAAGTTGTTCACGCGGCTCGTTCTGGCTTCCTTCCTTTCCACCCGTGAACACGGTCAAGGCATAGAGGCTAACCGATTTCTGTATCACACCCACACACACACACACACACAAGCACGAGTAGGCATGCAGGCACCGGCGCACTGACATGTAGCCTGGCTCCTCCTCCAACCAGACAATCATCATCATCAGCAGCAGCAACTGCAGCAACAGCAGCAGAATTGTTACGACCCTCAGGCTGTCTAACGGCTCAACAATAAAGCTGTCTTTGCCAGCGGTTTTTTGCTCTGTCGGTTCTGTCACAATCGACTGCCAACAACAGACGAAGCCGAGAGAAGAGATTCCGTCTGCAGAATTCACTCGCTCGGTTGTATACTAAGTTTAATGGGTTTTAATCACTTCACTCAGATCCTTCGATCTGATACAAATGCAGAGGTGAATCTGCATCCGAGGGAATCTTCGAAAAAGTCCCATTTGGTCCTGAAAATCGACGCAAAGGGAGCTACTGTAGCCCTGTAGATCTGTGACCAACCCTTTTCTCGGCTTACTAGCTCTATCGAAGATATAAAGACCAAAATGGTGTGACCAACGGTTTGGCCGCAGTCTCCTTTCGATTTAGAGAAGTAGGCTGACCTCGTTGTCGCAACTTGGTCTCGTTGTCAGGGCTATTTAGTAGAATGCATCTTGTCCGAAGTCCTCTGCCATAGCAGTTATCATAATTCTCAGCATCGGACTGTGGACTTTCTACATTCTTAGACGTTTCGTCGGCATCATCAGTGAGTCTTGCCATTTTCAGCACTAAGCTACGAACTCGGCAAAGAGACAAGTGAAGTCAATCCCTCGACAAACGTTCTGCCGAAAACGGTTACACTGTCACTCTTCTTCCTGCCCTGGTCTATCTATCTACTCTTTACCCGCCCTATAAAGAGCCAGGACAGGAAGAAGAGTGATAGTCTAACCATTTTCGGCAGAACTTTTGTCTCTTTTACGAGTTTGTAGCTTGGTGCGGAAACTGGCAAAGCTCACTGA